TGCATCCAAGGAAAGCAAAGCGCAACTCCGTTTCCAAAAACATCACTCGTGAGAGACTATGGACTCTTCCAGCTCATTCATTCAGACGTTTGCGGACCGATGAAAACAAGGTCAATTGGTGGGGTCCTTTACTTTGCAACTTTTAATGACGAAAAATCAAAATGGGTGGAGGTAAGCTTCCTGAAGACAAAAAACGAAGTCAAGAATGCGTTCATAAAGTTTAAGGCCATAGAGGAAAATCAAACCGAATGCAAAATTAAAATCTTACGGACGGACAACGGACTGGGGTATTGTGAACCGGAGTTTACCAAGCAACTTAAAGAAGCTGGAATTGGAAGAGAACGCACAACGGCGTATACTCCGTAGCAAAATGGGACGGCGGAAAGGATGAACCGTACACTAGTCGAAATGGCCAGGTGCCTGCTTTTGCAGTCAAATCTTCCACTGAGTTTCTGGCCGAAGCCATAGCAACAGCCGCGTATATAAGAAATAGGAGTCCCGCGAAAAGTCTAAATGAAATGATGCCTTTTGAGGTCAAAATTGGGACCAAGCCAGATGTGTCGAATTTCAAGATCTTTGGCTGTAAGGCGTTTGCACTGGACAAAACGCAAAAGGAGAAATTTCAACCGAGGTCAAAAAAATGTATATTCGTCGGTTTCTCAAGTGAATCCAAGGCTTATCGTCTGTGGGATGGAACGGCTAAAAGAATCATTGTAAGCAGGGACGTAAGGTTCATCGAAGAACCTGAGCGTCCTGAAATTATAGATGACCAAAAGAAGAATGCGAAGTTTGAGATAATTTTGACCAATCCCAGCGCGAAAAGCGAAGCAGAAATTATTCGAATTGAAGAACACCAAGATAACGAACACGACAATGTGGAGGTAGCGAGAGACTCGAACGACTCCGGCAACGAAGAACCATACGATTGTGTTGAAGAGATCAATGCCGATTTGCAAATACAGCCTACTTCTTTTAAGAGGGGGCCTAGTCGTCCTAGACTGCTCAAGGGTGAAAGGGGATGACCTCGCAAGTTGTATAATATGATCAAGCATGAAACGAATCTAGCCTGTTGTGAGACGAACGATTTAACCGTAGAAAAGGCAATGAACGGACCCCTGGCAAAGCAATGGAAAAAAGCTATGCAATTAGAGTTTGATGCGTTGAAAAGAAATAACGCCTGGATCCTTGTTAAACGACCTCGAAGCAAGAATGTCGTCGGTTGTCGATGGGTCCTGAGAACGAAATACAGTGCGGATGGAAGCGTGGAACGCAAAAAGGCACGCCTAGTGGCAAAAGGCTACACCCAGCGGCCTGGAGTGGATTTTAGAGAAACGTTCGCACCTGTAGCGAGGCAGAGCTCCGTACGAATTGATTTGTCTCATTATTCTGTACATAAAAGTATTACGGTAAGTGGAGGAGAGTGACTGCGTTCCCCTATGTATTTTGCAGGAGGGGGCCGTCTGTGTCTCCGGGTGGCGATGCTCGTTGGCCGCTGGTGATGGTGGCAACGGTGATAGGCGTGGAGGATAGTTCCAGCCGTAGGTCGGCGAGGTGTAGCGCCGTACCTTTACGTCCCACGTCGTCAGGAAGTCCCTGCCCGGACGGGTGAAGCGCACCGGCGACAGCTCCAAAGGCTGCAGCTTCCACTCCTGGAAGGACCGGATGAGGTGCCGGCGAGTGGAAGCGATGGTCGGGGGCTTCACAGGATGTCCGGTCCGCAAACTGGGCCCAGGTGAAGAGGGCGGCGGAAGTGGACGTGGACGTTCCTTTCCCTGCTGCTTTTTTCCTCTTCGCAAGGTGCGAGGGGCTTATACGGGCGGACCCGAATTTCCGCCCGTCGTCGCTAACTTCCGTTCACTAAGCGAGAGGTGTCTTCTCTCTAGCAGCGAAAGCCGCGACTGGTGATATCGATCGGTTCACCCTCTTATATACTATCACTCGTTGGATTTCACTTCCTGGCGCCGACTCCCGGCTGCCGCCGCGTCGCGGTACGTTCCCGTAGTTTTTTGGGCTTGCACGTGTTCCACGCGTGAGTCTGGGCGCGCGCGCTTGCCGCCATGTTGTAAGGGACGCAAATTGGTTCCGCGCGCCCGTGCTCTTGTGGTGGTTATCCGCCACAGGACCCCCTTGGTTGTGGTAAGGTCCGTTTGCTTCTTAAGATCCGTTTGCGAACCGTACTGGTGGTCGTGTCGTACGAAGACTGTCGGTGTTGTTCCCATGTTGTTAAAGATGAAGGCTGCTTTGTTTCCGTGTCGTTTCAGACGTGGGCATAGGTTGCTCATCGTGGCTCGTAGTCTGCTTACTACGTCCTCGTTGTTGTCGATCGTTCGGTCCTCTGCTGCTAGGAATTGGCCTGTTAGGCGTATAGGTTCACCATATACGAGTTCTGCTGAAGTGGCGCCAAGGTCTTCCTTCCAGGCAGCTCGTATTCCCATTAATACGATCGGTAAGATTTCTGTCCATCTTTCCGTCGCGTGGCACTTTATTGCTGCCTTGAGCTGCCTGTGGAATCGTTCTACCATTTCGTTGGATGCCGGGTGATAGGCTGCTGTTCGCAGGTGTTTCGAGCCTGTTAGCTGCGTCAGTCGTCTGAACATGTCGGCCTCGAATTGTCGTCCTTGGTCCGTTGTTATTCTCACGGGGGCTCCGAATCGTGATATCCACTGTGTGAAGAGGCGCGTGGCTACGGTTTCTGCCGTTATATCTGGAATAGAGACGGCTTCCGGCCATCTTGTGAACCGGTCGATCATTGTCAAGCAGTAGCGTTTCCCTTGTGATATTGGTAGGGGTCCCACGAGATCTATGTGAATGTGTTGGAATCGCTTTGTTGGTGCCTGGAAAGTCCCTGTTGGCGTCGTATTGTGCCTCGTTATTTTGGCTCTTTGGCACGCTAGGCATGCTCGTGCCCAGTTGTTGCAGTCGCGTTGTATCCCTGGCCACACGTAGCGTTGTGCGACGAGTTTCGCCGTTGCTTTTATCCCTGGGTGAGCCAATCCATGCAGGTATTCGAATACCTGCCTTCTATATGGTTGGGTCACGAATGGGCGGTTGGTAGGCGTCGATGTGTCGCAGTGCAGGTATGCCGTTGTTCCGGGTATTGGAATTCTTTCTATTTTTAATCCGGTTTCTTTCTGTAGCGTCTGTCGGAGTTCCTCGTCTTCTTCTTGCGATTTTGCGAGCTCTTCGTGATCCATGGCCCTTTGTATTGCTTCTAGCCGGGACAGTGCGTCTGCTACGACGTTTTCCTTCCCTGCCAGATATTGTATGTCGGTCGTGAATTGGCTGATGAAATCGAGCTGCCGTGCTTGCCGTGGCGAGCTGCGTAGCGGATCCTGATTGAACGCGTATATTATGGGCTTATGATCGGTATAGACTGTAAATGCTCTCCCCTCTAGCATATGCCTAAAATGTCTTATGGCGGTGTATACTGCTAGGAGTTCGCGGTCGTATGGACTGTACTTTTGTTGTGCTGGATTGAATTTCTTGCTCATGAATGCAAGTGGCTGCCATCCCTGTTTGCTTCGCTGCTGTATCACGGCTCCGAGGGCCGTATCTGAAGCGTCGGTGGTCAATGTCAGTTCTGCTCCGGGATCAGGATGTGCCAATAATGTTGCTTGAGCCAGACTGTCCTTGCATCTCTCAAACGCCTTCTCAAGTGCGACTGTCCACTCGATGGGTGCGTTGTTTTTTGTTTTAGGTCCTTTTAGTACGTCATTCAACAGGGCTTGGTCTTCTGCGGCTCTTGGTACGAACCGGCGGTAGAAATTTATTGTGCCCAGGAATTGCCTCATCTGTTTCACCGTGCTTGGTTTGCGGAAGTTTCGTATCGCGTCTACCTTTTCGGGTAGTGGTTGCGTTCCCTTTTCGGAAACTAAGTAGCCGAGGAATTTTACTTCCTTCTTCCCAAATGCGCATTTTGCTGGATTTATCTTTATACCGTAGCTGTTTAACCGCTCGAACAATTGTTTTAAGTGGTTTTTGTGTTCGTTTTCTGAGCGTGAAGCTATCAAGATATCGTCGATATAGGCATAACAATACTCGAGTCCATGTATTACTTCGTTTATAAACCTTTGGAACGTCTGTGCGGCGTTACGTAGTCCGAAAGGCATGTACAAAAACTCATAGAGACCGAAGGGTGTCGTAATAGCCGTTTTTGGGATGTCCCGCTCGTGTACCGGAATCTGATTGTAAGCGCGCACGAGGTCTATCGTGGTAAACACCGTCTTCCCATGGAGAGCTTGTGAGAAGTCTTTTATGTGCGGTATCGGGTATCTATCCGGTATCGTGCGTGCATTGAGCTTCCTGTAGTCTCCACACGGTCGCCATGCGTTGCTTTCTTTTGGCACCATGTGTAATGGTGACGCCCACGGGCTTTTCGAGGGGCGGATTATGCCTTCCTGCCTTAGCAGGTCGAACTCGGCCTTGGCTATCTTCAGTTTATCTGGTGCTAGCTTGCGAGGCCGGCATGTTTCCGGTTGCCCGTTTGTAGTTTTGATGTAGTGAACGGTGTTATGTTTAACCCTGCTTTGTGTGACTGCTGTTCGGCTGTGTGATCCCTGGGTATTTTCGCAGCAGGTCCTGGTACTCGTTGCCTTCTACTAATGCCTTTATGGAGAGGGTTTTGTCACTGCTGGCCGACCCTTCACCGGCGAGTCCGGTTGTTCCGTCTAACAGCTTCTTGTTTCGGATATCCGGCAGAAGATGGTAGTGGCACAGGAAATCTGAACCTATGATCGGGTGAGTTACGTTGGCGATGATAAAGCGCCATGGGAATGCCCTCCTCAGTCCGAAGTCGGGTTGTAAAGTGACTGTCCCGTACGTGTTGATGGTCGAGCCATTTGCCGCAAAGAGCCGATATGCTTCGGCTTGCCGGCGCTTTCCCGTTCTGGAGTACGGGTACACGCAGACGTCTGAGCCGGTATCTATGAGATATTTTATTCTTGTGGTATGGTCTGTCATGAATAAGCGGCGAGGTTCGGGGCTGTCATCGTTTGCCGCCATCAACGATTGCCCTCGTCGTTTCCCGGTTTGTAGATGCAGGGCTTCGTGCATTTTTCGGCCTTGCTGCCGAATCGACGGTGGTAAAAACATATCCCGTCTTGCCGAGGGGTTCTATCCCTCGCTCTGCTTCTCGATCGCTCTCGCTGTCTCCCTCTGGAGCGGTTCCGGTTTTTATCCTTTGTCATGCTTTGCGCCAAATCGGTCATTCCCGTGGTGAGGGTAGCGACTTGCTGTCGTAGGGCCTCTATCTGTGCTTCCCAGGCGGGTGGGGTAGCCTTCTGCGGGGTTGTGGTTGCTAATATCATTGACCTGCTTCCGACTTCGTGTATGCGATCGGCCTGTTCGGCTACGTCCTCCAATTTGTCTTGAGTGCGTGTAGCTAGGATAGCCTGCATCTGTGTTGGAAGTCGCCCCAACCATAGGGTGCGTAGGAGGTCGTCTGGCACCGTGGTGCCGGCTAACGTGCTTAGGTGACGTAAGAATTGTGAAGGTTTTCTGTCGCCTAACTCCTCATGTTCTAGGAGCTACCGTATCCGCTGTTCGTGGGATACTGATAGTCGCTGTATCAACGCTCTCTTGATAGTTTCATATTTCTGGTGGGTTGGCGGATGCGTGATGATGTCCTTCACCTCTCGTGCTTGTTTCGGCTCCATCCGTGATAGGACTTGTGCGAATTTGATGCCATCGTCCGTGACGCCGCTAAGGGTGAGTTGTCCCTCTAGCTGAGCGAACCATAGCTCGGGTTCGTCTGGCCAAAACGGAGGTATCCGAACGGCTATCCGGTTGACGGCCGGATCCTCGTCGTCCAGCAGGACGGTGGTGTTTGTGTCCTTCGGCATCTTTCCCCTCAGATCACGTCGGGGTCACCAATTTGTGGGGTTCTATAGGGTGTGTGTGTGGAAGCGCGCTTACTTCCTTCGCCCCACAATACGTAAAGGGAAGATGTCGATGGAAGGGATGTCGTCAAAGATCACTCGCAAGTACTGCGTCGCCTTCTCCGATGTGGAGGAGAGTGATTGCGTTCCCCTATGTATCCTGCAGGAGGGGGCCGTCTGTGTCTCCTGGTGGCGATGCTCGTTGGCCGCTGGTGATGGTGGCAACGGTGATAGGCGTGGAGGATAGTTCCAGCCGTAGGTCGGCGAGGTGTAGCGCCGTACCCTTACGTCCCACGTCGTCAGAAAGTCCCTGCCCGGACGGGTGAAGCGCACCGGCGACAGCTCCAAAGGCTGCAGCTTCCACTCCTGGAAGGACCGGCTGAGGTGCCGGCGAGTGGAAGCGCTGGTCGGGCCGTACCCTTACGTCCCACGTCGTCAGAAAGTCCCTGCCCGGACGGGTGAAGCGCACCGGCGACAGCTCCAAAGGCTGCAGTTTCCACTCCCGGAGTGACCAGCTGATGTGCCGGCAAGTGGACGAGTTGATCGGTGGCTCCGCAGGAGGTCCGGTCCGCAATATTGGCCCCGGTGAGGTGGGCGGCGGAAGAGGACGTGGACGTTCCTCGTGGTTCTTCTGTCTGCGTCTAGGCAATGTGCGGAAGGTTTTTACGGACGGACCCGAATTCCGTCCGCCGTCGCTAAGCTCTTTGCTACTAAACGAGAGAAGTCCTCTCTAGCAGCAGTGAGCCGCGACTGGTGATATCGATCGGTTCACCCTCTTATATACTATCACTCGTTGGATTTCACTTCATGGCGCCGACTCCCGGCTGCCGCCGCGTCGCGGTACGTTCCCGTAGTTTGTTGGGCTTGCACGTGTTCCGCGCGTGAGTCTGGGCGCGCGCGCTTGCCGCCATGTTGTAAGGGACGCAAATTGATTCCGCGCGCCCGTGCTCTTGTGGTGGTTATCCGCCACAATATACTTGGCGTATTTTTTTTACCTTTGTTCTATCATATTTTCATAATATTTTTTCTTCTTTGTCCTAATTAACTTAACTATTGCATTTCGTACAATTTTAAATTGCAACCAATTTTGTTCCGTGTCAGCATACAATGTCTTCCTATATGCCTCATTCTTTTTAACCACTGCTTCTCTTATTTTATCCGAAAACCACTTTTTCCCTTCCCATGTACTCGGAATTCTAAAATTTTTCCTAGGTGCTGTAGCATCCAACGCATTTACTATACTATTAACAAATTTCTTCGCTCTCACACTGACATCCATACTTTGGTTTTTCTCTAATTTATTTTCCACTAATTTAATAAATTCTTCTATATTAAACTCTATAATTCCTAACACTAAAGTATTAGGGGCGCATAAAAGTTTATTGTAAAAACAATTTAATTTTAACATAAATAAGCATAGAGCGGTGTAAAGCGGACTGTTGTGCCTCTAGCTGCTAAGGAAGAGGTCTTTTGGGATTTATACGCACAAAGGATTAGGATCCACGCTCGAAATAAGACATTCCCGAACGTTAGGTATAAATTGATATATTTCACAGATTCTTGTACACTATCACTAAGTCGCGATTATAATAGTCGGGCGCAATACGTACGGTACTTCGATACTATTGATATATGCGAGCGAGTAGCGAGCGATGTTAATGAGCTATATTAGAGCTATATTACTCAGACATCTCGCGCTCAATATATATTAATTAATTAGGTCGTTGATTAGGGAGGAGTGTGGTGTCCCTGACCGGAGCATGTCTCGTGCTCCGCTCGTCAGCTGTCTCGTCAACTGCTTACTCAGCTTCCGAGAACTTGACCGTAACTTCCTTCTCTTTAGTCACGTATCATACTTTTATTTTATTAATAATCTTTTATTACTTAACTCTTTCTTAATTATTTTTCCTTGATCTCTTTTCTAATTTTAATGCATTGCTTTACTCAGCTCTTTCTTAATCTTTTCTGTTTAACTTTATTGTTTTATCTTTTAATATATTAGGAAATTGGTCGGGCTACGACAAAACGCTTACAAAATGTGCTCACAATGTCGAAACGCGAATCTATACAACAGACATCACACCTCGAATTTACGCGATTCCCACTCCCTCAATTCGCGATATAATCGCGAAAGAAAGACGGACCGAAATGCACGCGAATTCTAAACGCGAAGATTCGCAAACGACATACAAACGTAATACAACGAATTGACGCGACTCACACTCACACTCAAACGACCGACACACGACACGAACGAGACTTAAAGGCTAAACGTGCGAGAACCAACGCAAATACAAT